TCCCTCTACACTATTACTGCGTTCATTCATTAATACAATCGTCTAATTGACTTTCAAAAAAAAAAAAAAGAATATCATTGCTAAAATTAACTCTTTCTGAAATCTAAAGCTCAACCTCCATGGCCCATTATCAATTTGCCAGCTACTCTCTTTCTCTTTTTACCTTTTTTTTTTTTTTTTTTTTTTTCTTCGGCTGCTCTCTTTACACCTCCACCCCTTTATCATATTTTATTTCCAAGATAACATTTTTTAATTCTTTTGGTATTTCTACTTTTAATTATTAATTATTGATTTGATCAATTTCGATTCATTAACATTTACAAGTTCAATTTAAAATGACTAAAATACTTGTATTTTCACCAAGCTTTAAGACCTTTTATTGGGAACATTTTGAATTTTATTTAAAAATTAAGTAACAAAAAATAATTAGATTAGTAATTGCGATCTAAAACACAAAATGGTCAATATTAACTCATTTTCTTCCTTTAACTACTTTTTCTCCTTTTTAATAGCAAAATTCTGCAACTCAAAGTCTAAAACTCTAATAGCACGTTTGGTTCGCGGAATAGGCTTGGAATGACATAGCATTCTCAGTAATAGGCATATTCTTTTGTTTGGTAAAATTTTTTATTCCCAGGAACACTGTTCCTGAGCATGTCCTATTCCCCCCTACAAGGGGAATAGCTATTACCAGGACCCCCCCTTGGTATTAACCTATTCCTGAGTTCTCAGGAATAGATTTTATATTTTATTTTCTATTTTACCCTTCATCTTTTTCTCTCGGTCTTTTGCATCTTGTCAATGCTTCGCATTCTTTTCTCCGAAAGATCAAAACTTAGGTCGAAATTGTTGACTCCCCGGCACCGCCACTACATTGGCCGGAGTCTCCAAACCATGTAAGGCCCGCCCGGCGCCATTACTGGATCACCCACAAGCCTCCGCCACCATCTTGTTTAAGACTGCAAATATTCAATGTGAAATCACAACTCTTCTGGCAAGCAATAGACTTAAATGTTAGTTTACCACTCACCAAAGATTGAATAACATTCCTAAAGTCTATTCCTTCGCCGAACCAAACAACAGAATACAATTTCTATTCTATTCCTTACCTATTCCATTCCTTATGTAAATAGTAATTCTATTCCCTCAAAATTTATTCCGCGAACCAAACGTGTTGTAAATGCCTCGAAAACTGCTGACTTATCCCATAACAACTATCATATCTTATTTAAAATTTTTAAAAATATTTATCTTTTTAATTTTTCTACCCCATTTTCTATCGTAACTTTTTTTTTTGTTTTTTTTTGTTTTTTTTTTTGTTTTGTTTTTGTTTTTGAATGCTATTGATGTTCAAACATACTTTCTCAACCTAATGAAACACACAAAGTCAACAACGTCTCCACTGATACTTGATCTCATGGCTTTTCATGTAAGAGAGATCACTACATGCCATCTGAGCACAAGTGCTTCAGTGCTTGGCATCATAACTCTTATTTACTATTCATGATTTTAGTCCAACCAATTTTTTCTTCTTTGTTTATTTTCTTTTGTGTTTTTACTTATTTTTAAATTTAATTTTTGTTTTGTTTGATTGTACTTTTAAAGGCCGTTTGATACTTTCTAAATTCTAATTCATTAACCAAGTGGCTTGTAGTACACTGGTATCAGGTTGCTCACCTAAGTGGGAGGTGATGGGTTTAAACCTCAATTGAGGTAAGTAATGTGTATATGTATGGTATCCCCTTTCCTTATAATAATAAAATTTTGATCCATTATGTTCCTGGAAAAAGGGTTTCCAAAGAATATATTTGACGGAATAACTTTACTGAAAAATTAATTACATTAACATGTTTGGTGTTAACCTGGAAGCATAATAATAAATTTTACTTGGAAAATTGATTAACATATTTGATTTGTTTAATATATATATATATATATATATATATATATATATCCACACAGTAAATTAGATTAAGAAAAACTTTAATTGCGGAATTTAATGTTTTTTGACAAACAATGTGTCATGATGGAGAGACACATTTCTTATAGAGTTAATTTCATTTTTATCCTAGATTTATAGGTGACAATCAACTTTTAGTTATTCTTTTTTCATAACATTTCATTTGGTTCTAGTATTATTGTGCCATGACAATTTTTTGTCACTTGTGAATAAAATCGTTGAAATGTCGTTAAATACAAGGACATTTTGTTTTTTTTTTTTAATACAAAGTGAGTTGACCAATTATATTTTTATTTTTTTAAAATTATAATTGAAGACATAAATGTCATTGTATTTTATGAAATTTGAACGATTTTATTGATGTAGGAGCAAAATGGTCATGTCACAGTAATACTAGGACCAAATGTGGATGTTCAGAAAAAAAAAGAAAAAACTAAAAATGAATTGTCACCTATAAATATACGACACAAAATTAAATTAACTCATTCTTATATTTATAAGAGTCTTTTAATTTGACGTCATTAATGGCTACCCAATATTTGGGTCTAGTTGGACCGCCTAGCCCTGATTAGCCCACCTAAACTCAAATTAAACTAGCCGTTAATTCATATTAATCTCCTAATTTTTACCCCTCAACCCATAACCTCCTATTTACTACCTCATCCTAACCCCAGCTTAATATCCATAACCCCCCATGAAGCTTCATTATTTTCCTATTAAATCCTATTAATTACATACTAATTACTCATTGACTCACCCAACGGCTAGCTCTTACTCCCTAGCTATAAAATGGTTCAAAAAGCAAGGAAGAAGGATAAAATGGTTCAAAAAGCAAGGAAGAAGGGGTCATTCATTCATACATACTACAAGCACTCTTCCATCCACAACACACAAAGAAGACTCCATTACTCTCCCAAGGAGAAGGCACTCTTCCACAACCACTCTCTACTCATCTAAGCAAGAAGACTACCATTCTCCCAACAAGAAGATCAAGAGGAAGACTCCCCCTCTATATACAAAGTATAGCTCTTTCCCTACACAATATTTCTATATACAAAATAGTCATACCACTTATACAAACAATCCTACAGAATAGTGAATTTAGGCTTGGCACCGCCCAAAAAGGCCTGTGGTTTTCACCTTTCGATTTCCACGTTAAAATCATCGTGTCTAATTTCTTCTAAGTTCATAGCTTTATTTAAACGGTGAATCCACCAACCACGGTTGTGTTGGACCTCACTGGATCCAAAAATCCTAAAACCAACAGTCATGAAGGATAAATATGCAATCGAATAAATTTGGTAAATTTATAGTCACTCATTCACCCTGGAAAAAGATTCCTACCTCCACTAGGTGAGATTTACCTTCCTTGATACCATGTAATGTGATTCACTGATTCCCATTAACCGAATTTTCCCAAGTCAACGATTGTATTGTGAAATTTTCCTAGCTACCATACACCCCCTGTAATTTCTAAATACAGAGTATATAAATTTTATATATTAATACTAAACTGAATATTATGAAAAGTTAAATTAAAAATAACTTTAGTTAAGTCTAGCTAGGTTAACTATACCAAATACATAAAATGAGACTAATAAAGTATTTATTAAATTTGAAAAAGTAGCAGTTGTTGGGCTACAAGAGCTATTGGATTCAAGGGATTTCAAGCGCAAGTAGCCGAGATCAACAACACATTTGAAAGGCAGCTAGGCCAACCACCTAGATAGCTAGCAGGTTATGGAAACTGATCAGATGGTCCAAACCTCCCCCGTGAAGGATTAAGATCAACGTCGACAATAGCTTCAACCCACATACCAACAAAGAAAGGTGTGGCGGGCTTGCTAGAAACGACCAAGGAAGGTGGCTGAGAGGGTTCACCCACAGCATTGGAGCTTGCTCGGCAGGCATAGCTGAAGCCTAGGCGTTACTAAAAGGAATCCAGTTAGCAAAGTTAATAGGAAGCAGACATTCTTACTTTGAGAGCGACTCTAAGATAATCGTTAATGCAATCAACCGGAAGGCTAACGTCAACAACATCGGACAACATCCTCCATGCTTGCAGGCGAGAACTTGAAAGCATTGGAGAGTAACAGCTAACACTTATTGACAGAGAACAAAGTTTCAAAACCAAGCGCCTGACCTATTGGCAAAGGAAACTGGCGTTCACCTTGATACCACCCCTCTGACGAGCTCTCTCGGATTCTGAAGGACGATCAATTTGGCATCCCGGTGTGGCGCCAAATGAAGCACTAAATTTGTTGCATCGGGTGTTTCCCTTCCATCGATCCAAAAAAAAAAAGTATTTAGTAAATTTAAAAATTATTTTAAAATAAGTCAGATAAGCAAATACTTTCCAGAATTTGAAAAAATAACGCCTTTTTTTATTCACTAAAAAAATATAGTCCGTATTTGTTCCACCCTCCGTCTCCTGTCTCACAATCACTCAAGGATTCGGCTTCACAACTCAAAGCGAGTCTTCTTCCCCCACCAAATTCTGTGCGAGTAGAAAGATCTGCTACTGTTACAAATTCGAAGGGAGGAAGGTAAACTCCGATGCGCTATATGTTAAATGCTTATGTCGCTCTGTTGTATTGTACTCGTTTGCTTGTTCATTTTCTGATTTTAATTTTAAATTTTTATTGCATGTGTGGTGTTTTTAGGGCTTTTTTTTTTTTGTAACGTCTCCGAAATTGGGTGTGGTTGGCTTGAATTACGTTTTTAGGGTTTTTGTAACGTCTCCATCAGTTCATATTGGTGGATCTAGGGCCGTTGGGGATATGTAAAGTTTGAATAGGAAATTGATTCGGGAATGGGTGGCGAAGAGAGTCAAACTGATTATACTGGGGTCATGCTTGGGGTGAATGTGGATTCAGGAGTAAGCGAGAGTTGTTATTTGAAAGACGGCAGTGGAAATTGGAATGCTCATGGGACTGAAATGAAATCTGGAGAGGAGGTAATGCAGCCTTTGATGGTTGGGGAAGTATTGCAGGATAGTTATGTAAGGGAAGAGGATGGTATTTTTGAAGTTGAGGTAAAGATGGATGGTGATGAATACCTAGGTGTGGGTGCTCAGGATGGAGTTCCAAATCCTTCTGGGGATGGGACTATGGATTTGAATACGCAGCGGATGTTTGTAGGTGAAGTTTCTGTAAATGGGCTTGGGAATGAAGGAACTGGGATCGATTCTGCTGGTAGCATTGAAATAGTTGGCTCAAATAGCCTGCTAAGCGGGGTAAGTCAGGGACAGTTGATAACTATACAGCCATCATATGCAGAAGAAAAGGATATTAATCACGTTGCTCTGGTTCCGAGAAGTCGTGAGGAGGAGTCTAGAACAGAGGAAGAAGGGCAGTTTTATGTGTCTGATCTAGTGTGGGGCAAGGTGAGGAGCCATCCTTGGTGGCCGGGGCAGATATTTGAACCTTCTGCTGCATCACAGCAAGCCGTGAAATATTTTAAGAGAGACAGCTACTTAATAGCCTACTTTGGGGACCAAACATTTGCATGGAATGAAGTGTCACAGATAAAACCCTTTAGGACGTACTTCAACCAAATGGAGAAACAATCCTCTACAGAATCCTTCTGTCATGCCGTGGATTGCTCATTGGATGAGGTTTCTCGAAGAGTTGAGTTTGGGCTCTCCTGCTCATGTGTGCCAAAGGCTGTGCAATGTAAATTTGAATCTCAGAGTGTTGCCAATGCTGGCATTCGAGCAGAATCAAGTCAAAGGGATGGTGGTGACAAACTGTCAACTGTGGCCTCTTTCGCGCCTGGAGCACTTCTTCAATGTTTGAAGTCAATAGCAACATCCCCGTGCTGTGTGGTTGATAGACTAGGATTTGTGGTGGCAAGATCTCAGCTGCTGGCATTCAGCCGTTGGAAGGGTTATTATGAGCTACCTGCAGTGGAAGAGTTTGGTGGGCTGTCGGAGTATGATGCTGACACCAATGTATTGCAAGGTCTGGAAGGATCAGTTCTGGATTTGACTGATAATTCCAGTATTCCAACTGGGAAAAGGAAGTCAACCATCAGAGGTCCTTATCGGAAGCGTAAACGGTTGTCAAAGGATAATGACTGTCTTGAGAAGAATGGAACATTGATGTTTGGCAATATTTCAAGTTTGCCTGATGGTGGCAAGGACTATATGGATGAATCTGATGGGCAGATTAACATTATTTCTTCTAGTAATAGCCACAAACCACGTGACTTGATATCGAGTGAGCTTAAAGTAAAGAGAAGAAAGAAACTTTTACCTTCAGGAACTGGAAGTAATAAGTCATCACCACCAAGGGAACTTCTTAAGATTGGGGAGCGGATACAGAGGGCTGCTGTTCAACTTGGAGGATCAACTACAGTTATCAAGCCCGGAGTAGAGTTCCTTTCTTTAGACAAGGTACTCTTAAACCTTTCTTTAGACAAGGTACTCTTAAACCTTTCCTTGGCTGCCAAAGATCCCACTAATGGGTATCACATTTTGGCTCCATTCACCAATATTTTCTCTGGCTTAAGGGAATTTACTTTGGAAACTTCTAAGTTAAAAGATCAGGAAGTTTTAGTTGAAAAGTGCAGAGGAGAAAGCTCATTGAATTATGAAACAACTGAATCACCTGCATTTAATGTCATAGAAGATTCATATTGGACTGATAGAATTATTCAAGGGAACCTTGAAGGGCAGATGTTATATGAGCCTGAAGACCAAAATGAAAAGATAATTCCTGTTGGCCAGTTAGATGCTGTTTTTGGTCTCAACCCAGGTGCAGACAAACAAGAAAGAGGTGGTATACTTATGCAGTCAGAAGCTGAAGATCCATTTGGTCTCGTTGATGGACAACAGAACCTTGAAGAACAGGCAATATTCGAACCTGGAACTGAAGATGAGAAGAATATTCCTGTTGGTCAACCAGATGCGGTTGTTGGTATCAACGCAGATGCAGACAATCAAGAAAGAGACACCATCATTGTGCAGTCAGAAGCTGAAGATCCATCTGGTCTCGTTTATGGACAACAGAACCTTGAAGAACAGATAATATTTGAACATGGAACCGAAGATGAGAAGAATATTCCTGTTGGTATCAACACAGATGCAGACAATCAAGAAAGAGACACCATCATTATGCAGTCAGAACATGAAGATCCATCTGGTTCTGCGGATGGAGGAGCTGAGGAAGACGACTGTCCTACTGCACTGATTCTCAACTTTAAAAACCTGGAATCTGTTCCCTCAGCAACAGATCTAAATAAAATATTTAGCCGTTTTGGTCCTCTTGATGAGTCTCAGACTGAAGGTATGCATAAGACCAAGCGGGGAAAAGTTGTGTTCAAGAGGCGCTCTGATGCCGAAATTGCTTTCAACAACGCTGGTACTTGTAGCATTTTTGGGCATGCGCTTATCAGCTACCGCCTTAACTACGCTCCAAGGCCACGCAAAGTTCCTGTTTCAAACCGTAAAAGAAAGAAAACTCCATCCACAGAAAGCAATGACATCCAAAGTTTAAGTGGGATGACTTAGCACAGTAGTAGCCTTTCTTGCTATATATTTTTGAGTCCATAGTCGGACTTTAAGAATCTTGTTCACTTGGCTATATTACACTGATGTAGGTTAGTATTACGTGCTGAGAGTAATTAGTTACGAGCTGATTACCCTTTATGTTTGACCAGAAGCTGTAGTTTTAGTAACTATTTTTCTTTCTTTTTCTTCCTTTAAGATTTTTATTTCCTTTTCTATTTTATTTGCCTCCTTGATTCTGAATTTTGAATCCATTATTATCATACAATTTATATGCACTTGTGAGTCAATACGAGTATATGCATTCAACCCCATCTATATCTATATCTATATATCCCTCTTAACAAATTTTCCCCCCAAAACTTTTGTAGTAAAGTTTATTTGGTAAGTAAATGTCAAATGAAAATTAAATAAAATCTATTCATTGTTATATTACATAATTGGTAATATTATGTATGGTATTATATTCTATAATATAATTGAAAATATTATTGTTCAAATATAATAAAAATCTTATGAAATAATGTAAGCATAATAAAATAATAATAATAATAATAATAATAATAATAATAATATAAAAATCATATAAATTTTCCCCCAAAACTTAGCGGCATTTATATAATATCCTAATTTTCTAATTTAATTAATTATCAAAATATTGAAATTATATATTATATATTATTCATTTATGTGTAGACATACTTATTACTGTATATAAAGTAAATTAGGTAAATATATTCTTCAAATATAAATTAAGTATCTATATATAATTTTTTGGTAACCAAATGTAAAATTGTAACTCTAATTTTAATTGGTAATTGGTAATTGGTAATATAATAAAAGCCATAAATGTTACCCTTAATCATATCTAAACACCTATATATACATCACATTCTCTTCCATACAAACAGTACCAAGTTACGAAGAACCTAAGGGAATATTCTCTGTAACTGCATAGCAATGGTGTAGAGAACAGGGACCTTCAAGAAGAGGAGGAACAAGACCCATATTCTCTGCGTATCCAGAAGAGCTGTTGCACTACACCTACACATTTGGTAAATCTCTGTATCCTTTTTCAACTCTTTTTTTTTTTTTTTTTAAATAAAGAATAGAAAATCATATATACCATTGGTGAAATTTAAAATCTATCTACATATATTATATAAACTATGATTATATTGATCATATATATCATCTGATCTTCTTCATCATTAATCTGGACGAGTTTGCTCAACCCATTAAAAGGTATTTCTCTAATACCTTATCTCAATCCATTAAAAGTTGTTTATTATTGGACTCTGGGCAAGATTAAATAATGCACTATTCATAGTGATAGAAAAAAAAACTGACCATCTGATTATTAGTGGACTCTGAGCAACTAGATCTGCAGGTCATTTGTATGAGAGGGGACATCATTGAATGAGTTTGGACTATTAATATTTTTTTTCCTGATGTGACGATCCTTCCAGCACCAATAGGAGTAACACAAGGATTTGGAGCCATGGCAATGTGTTGAGGATCGTGAGTAGTGCTCCTTGACAAAAGCCTAAAGCAACAACATATGAATATGATAGAGATTTAATTATTTTAATTTTTATTGATAAAGATTATTCTCTAACCAAACAATTAGTAATATTTACGATTTATTGAACCAACCTTCATATTTTTGGTCAAATGAGTACACGTGATGGAATATATGTTCATTGCACGGAATCTTAATATTCATTGAGTTTTCAAATCGTATATTGCATAAGAATTATTTTACCATAATATGAATTGTAACTAATTTAATAAATCTAAATATTAACAAGTATGTATGGTAATTTTATGTATCTTAATATTATTTCATATGGACGTAATACTATAATCTTTATCTTTATCTTTATATATATAATAAAGCAGAATCCCAGCCCCAAAAAATTTCCCTCCAAAAGTGTGAATGAGCTCCCACCAAAGTCATTAGATTACATTTATTGAATGACTCTTTGGTATCTGCAATGTAATTGAAAGATGTCCACTTGGACTCTTTAGTATCCACAATAATTGCAAAATAAGTATCATAATGTCCAGTGAGACTCTTTGGTATCCAAAATAACTATCCTATAAATACAATCTTCAATCCACAGCAAATGTAGGGAAGAACTCCAAAGTTTCATCCATATGCATAACCCACAATCCAAGCAAACAGTGGAGTTCGTGTGGGTGCTCATGCCTTGATAATGACAAACCAACGATAGCTGCAATAATTTGGCTCACTGTTAAAACCAATTCCACAGAAATCCAAAGCCCAGAATTCAAAGGACTTGGAAAAGTAAGTTGATACACAGGTAAATCTCACGAGATTAACAAGTTCTACGGTTATTGCCAAAAAGAGAAAACATCTACTAGATAACTGAGGTAAGTACACAATGTATCTTTTTTATTATCTTTACAGTTTAGGTATACTATGAGCATGGTCATAACAACTCAGATTTTAACTTTATGGCTATAACACAAGCATGTTACACAATTCTGCACCTACACTCCCAGTAAATTGTCAATGAACACTTTAAAACTATACAATATATACATTCAATACAGACATTGAAGAAAGGGAGAGTTGAGGCTATCAAGAAGGGGAAACTTGCATATTTAAGAATTAAATGCTACAGCTCAACTATATATAATACCCAGGCAATATGCAAAACTACTTGTGGACATTTGGTTTTATTCCTACGGGACAGATACTATTTTTTTTTTGTTGATAAGTGAAGGAACTATTTATTCCTACATGCATTTTAAAAAAAATGCATGGCAAAATTTTTAAAATTTAAACCATCAGTTGAATATTTATAAATTTGCAGGAACTATGACAAAATTAACAAACTAATAAACTTTTAAGTATTACATCAATCAGAACACCAAAATGAGGAAAATAATTTCATCAACAATTATAGGGAGCGGGGGATTTCTCGGTATTATAGTTTTTTTCATACCAATCTACCAAATAAACAATAAATCGAATTTAATGACATATATATATATATATATATATATATATATATATATATATATATATATATATATATAATGATGAGAATAATGGACTTATCTTTATCATAGAAAAACTTCTCGATGCTCTCAGTGGCGGAAGACGGTGTAACTGAGTTTCTGACACCTTCGTTTAAAAGATCTGTTCATAGAAGCAACAGATCTGCCCCGGTCAAAAAAATTTAGATCGAAATTTTTAGGGAAAACGATTTCACCAATCGCAAAGTAGAAAACAGTGATAGAACCGTAATCTTAGCCATGGATTAATTAGATAACCAAGCCTTAAGATCTACGAAAGCGATCTACCGTTTCAATTTATGAATCCGGATCGCAGTGAGATAAGAGTTTAGAGAGGAGGATCGAAGTACAGAGCAAGGAAGACGAATCTGGCGTTAGTGGCTTAAGGTTTGGTTTTCCCTTTATATATTTGGGCTAATGGGTTCGGGTTATGGGCTACTAAATGCAGGCCTGATATGTATTTTTTAATGCTAATTTGTATTGGGCTTATAATTGATATTTTTGGAGGCCATTTATAAATGTTTAAAATCATATTTATAAATGTTTACATTTGTTGATGATAAAATTTAATATGTTACTGATTAGAAGTTGCTCTCTTTTTATTACGTGGTTATTTTTATCCAACTTCATTATTTGTGGTGAACATTGTTTAACAGACAAATAATTATGTCCAATATGATAACAGTCAACATAAACGGGTAGAATCAATAGTAAGTCAAAGTGGTTATTATCCTCAATAGAGACAAATTCACTGCATACACCAATGAGTTGCCTAACTCATTAAACTAGAAACATTGATCATTCATTATGTCTTTGCAACGGCACTCGATTGATAGTTACTAAACTGGCTGATCGTGTACTGGAAGCTAAAATTATATGTGGGGCTCATGTAGGAACTAAAATTTTAGTTCCACGAATGTCACTAACCCATTCCGATTCAAGGCTACCATTTAAATTTCAGAAGAAACAATTCCCTCTAATGCTTTCTTATGCGATGACAATAAATTAAAGTCAAGTCCAAATATTATCACATGTCAATTCGTTTATGACAAAACCCGTTTTTAATCATGGTCAAATGTATGTTGCAGTTTTAAAGGTCAGTCATCCAAGGGGTTAAAAGTCTTGAGATGTGATGATAATGGGGAGTCAGGACTACGACTAAAAATGTTGTATATAAAGAAATTTTTAATAATTTGTAATTCTTAATGAATTTGTTATATATTAATGTAGCTCATTTATTTAAATCTCAAATAATTTCAATCGTATTTCTATAATTATACTTATATTATAATACTGTAATATTACGTTGTGAATATTAATGTCCGTGCATCGCACGGGACAATTACTAGTATGATTTATAACTAATTTAAGAAATCTATATTGATAACCAATTCAAGTATGTATGGTAATTGTATGCATGGTATTAAAAATAATAATTACGTATGGTATTATGTATAGTAATATTAGGTATGATATTATGTAATACGTAGTATTAATTAGGTTGTACATTTATTATACATTTATTCTTTTCATATTCTCATATGGACGTAAATCCATAATATGGTATATAACCAATAACCAATATGGTGCACCCCTATTATAACCAGGTAGGTGCATAGTAGTGTCTAGGCATATGCGTATGTCGTGGAAATTTGTTTCTAAGTTTTGTGTTATTGGGGGCGGACGAACTATAAGTGAGGTTTGTTTGTGTGCCGATGTTAACAGCGTATAGGTATGAGCGTGGTTGCGTAGTAGCTTGTGCAAACACCCGCGTTTATTATAAGGACTAGAGGAAACGGAAGTTCAGCAGGCGGGTGCATTGACGAACAGTAGTCTGTGCATAGCGTGTGCGTATGACGAGGGTTACATTTTTTGTATTAAAATTTATATTTGTTAGGTTGAATGAGCTAAATGTAGCGAGACGTGTGTGCATGCGGGACTGTTTTGAGAAAGTGTGGAACGACATGAATTTTGATTCCAACTTGTAATGATGGTAGGTTATTAATAGGGTGCGTAGACCTACATTAGTCTGTGCATAGTAGTATATAGACGGTGCAGTAATTGGTTTTGTTTGTGTTTTTTATTTGTTTTTTAATTTATGTGCCTATTGTTATCTGTGTTATAGTTTTTAGGGACGACCTAACGTAATGGGATGTATGTGCATATGATACAAATGTTTGTAGTATAGAAACGACATGAATTTTTATAACAACATGCAATGATGTTAGTT